TTTAGAGTTCACAAAATGTATGAGAAGTCTTCGCTTTTTTTTTTTTTTTTTTTTTTTAACCCCAGCTTGTGTTCAGCTGCGCCTCATCTGAACACAACAATCACTGGGGTCATTAGTGAGCTGTGGTAAAACAAAGAGGCAAACCATGTAACCCCAAAATGTACCTCTGGCTTTCCAGTCTCAACCTGCAGCTCCAGTTTATTAAATAATTTACAAAGAACTGTTAGATGACTTAATAAGCCTGAACACTGTCACTGGGCCATTTTGCTAGTCACAAACACAAACATCTTGCCTTTAAATATTCACTTCCAGTAAGATGAGGTGTAAGGAAAAACAAAGATGAAGCCCAGATCGTTTTCAGTTGTGCCACACTAATTTTAGAGACTGAATTAAAATGTTACATGACCTCATCAGCACACCATTTCTTGCTTAAAGTTGTAATATCCTTGAAAGTGGATAAACAATATTTTTTAAGCCAGAGGTAGGCATGAAAAAACCAGGACGAGCTGACAGACCACAACAGAGTAATATCTAATCAGTGACCATTAGCGGGAACTTCCCTTCACATTGCAGGTATTGGCAGCCATTTAACAGCCTTTCCTCGGCACTGGGTAGCGTATGTTTTAGTTGGAATACGCAATTCTGGGGCATCACACACACAGAAAATACGGCTTTATTACAAAAGGTTCAAGATGGCAACCACTTAGAATCTAGTGCCAACACGGATTATAACAAATCCAGTGAGTATTTTGTTTTTCAATTATTCATAGAAAATTTAATCCTGATTAAGTATCCTTGGGCAGGAATTCATGAGTAGTTGATGACTGAAACCAACATTTATGTGAAATGCTTCTGTTAATTTAATCTGTGTATACGGCTTAATTACGATTGGGGATTCAATGTAAGAGAAATGAATTATATCGGGATTAAAATTTTAGTACCCTATCACATGTGACTTTCCTTCTTTCTTTTTAAACTTGTAAACCTGCTTGTCCCTTCACCTAAGTGCTCATATTTTAAAACTCTTTGACCTTGCAATGCGAATAATGTATCTAGTTCATAAATAATTTGTCAACACTCTTTGCTAATTAAGCTACAACCTGAAGTAGAGTCAAAACTTAGAGGAAAAAGGTGGAGACTCCTTGGCCACCGATAAAAAGCTTACTCATTTCACTGTGAACATGTTTTATATTCATTTTCTGCAGCCACTGCGCTTTCAGTTGCTTTAAACTCCATTATGAAATGCATTTCCCTGAAAGCATAAAACGAAGCAGTTTTTAATCAGTGTACTTACTACACTGATTTCATAACTGGACTTGGTTTAGATATGGATAAGCCAGTAATCATTTAACTGATTACTTTGTGTGAGAGTATCAAACCTGAGTTGACTATAGAAGATGAGGTTATTATAAGTAGTGAATCTCCTACTAACATATAATTCATTCATCTTCATTTCCAAATGGAAACTGCATAAATCAACTTATAACAATGCTCTTTCGTGAAAGTTTATTAAGTATATTTCAAAGCATATCATTTATTACCTGTTTTCCGTTTTAGTACTGCTTAAATGCAGTTATATAAAATAACATGCTCTGCGTTCTCAGTTCAATTTTTCATACCAAAAGTATGAAAACAAAGTCATCACACGTAGATCCTTATTGCACTCTGTTTAACCAATTCATGTTTCTTTCAGACAAAATTGAGCATCAGAAGTGAGGCCGACTTTTGTGTCCAGACGAGATGGTCAGCGGTAGAGTTACTGAAGAGAGTGAGGAAACCTCCCAGTATAGACTGTGGGACAGAAAGAGTCTGTAGAGAATAACCATGGAAACAGACTGGCAGAGGATAACACCTATTGTGATAATCTGAAAATAGAAGAAAGGGAATGCCTTAGTACATGTGAAAACAGGGCCTTCATCTTCACCACATCACCAACGTATGGCCACTTTTTACATCCTCCATGTTCAGGCTACTCCAACCTCCAATGGCAAATTGGGACATTTCATCCAAGAAATTTTCAATAAGGAAATGCATCTAATGTTCAAATCTATAACTGTTCAAAGGTAAGATTCCTGTAAGAGTCAGTTAAGAGACACCAAAATAACACACAAAAGAATGATTTACCGCTGCACCACAGACAGCATAAGAAAAATAGGTTCCTGGCTGACTTAGTAATAAGAACCTTGAGGAGTGTGCTAAAAGCCCTTTCAAAAATTCTTAAGTCTCTTCTCTGTTTCTGTAGAGAGCCTTCCGATCCCTCTACCCTTTGTAAGGATCTCGGGCTCAGTAAATGCCTGCACGCTCAAGCACACGCCACACAGCTCGTGATGGCTCGCAGAATCCTCGGAATTGATGGAGATAGGGCCTGGGGGTAGCAGCAACACAATGCAGTGGCTTGCTCCCCTCTGCAGTCTGTCAAAACCAGACCAGTTTATAAACCCATCCTGCTTTTTATTTGTACATTTATGTAGAAAAAGTTTAACCATGTTCTCTTAAAGATGCGTTAATGTGCTCTCCAATTTATAAAACAGTATTATGAAGTAATACAGTATAAAATAGTATCATAAAATAAGCTGAAATGAGCGTAACTATCTGCCATTTTAGGTGTGTAAGATAAATTTTCAAAATTTTCTTTTGGATTTTAAACTTCTAATTTGTGTACTTATTGGTTCAATATCTTGTTTCAAAGTTTTATATTAAAGAACTCAAGAAGCCCCCGAATGGGTAAATACAGTGTTCTGACTTTAGTAGCTTCTCATAAACACTAGAAAAACCTGTTACAGTGAGGTGCATTACTTACCTTATCTCTTTGGTAGTCACTAAAAACAACAGAAATGCAGGCAAGACCTGGGTGGCACAGAAACCACAGGATACACCCCTGAAATAAATGAGAAACAAGCTAAGTGAGCACAGCTGTATTTTTATTTCAGAACGTACCCTATAAGACATGATACCAGCTCATTTGGGAGACCCTGATTCAGCTCACAGAGCATTCAGGGTACAACTTGCAAGAAAATATAGAAATAAATCCACTGTTGCTGTAACATAAAAACTTGCTTAAATGAGTTAAATGAGTATTTTGGGAGTATTCAAAAATCTTAATATTGGTATTACTCTGACATACATACATTTTTGATAAACTGCAAATATAGTGGCATGAATAATGAATTGATAATTGAGAAGAACATGTCACAAAACAGAACTGCATGTTCACACTTACCTGTAGATACACAAAGAAGCTCTGTAAGCATACACAAAAAACTGATTACCAGTGGTTACCTACTGAGGAGCCCATACAGGGAGAGCAGACTTGGGTAAATACTGCCCAGCACAATTAATAGCTTGTGTTCTAAATTGCCAAGATGAGGGCAAACTGACAGAAATATCATTGCCAGGTGTCATGATGGTCCCATCCCAAACCTGCTCCTGCTCTTTTCCCTTATTAAATGGCATCGAGAAAAATCAAATTTGCTTTTGGATCCACTCGCACAGGACGGAAGGGGGACCACAGAAGTGTGGCCTTCCAAGGATGGAGTGAAGTGGCTGCACCAGAACCGGCACCAGCCTCAGGCCTGTGTGCTTAAGCGGAAGGACAGGCCCTCTCCATGTGCTACAAGACAGTAGCTTCATTTATGAGAAACGTAAAGCACGGTCTAATTTTTTTAAGTCTCACAGATTCTGATACTGTGAAAGAAGCATGCACTCCCTATTGATGAAGAAATTATGATGCAGTTAAAACTGACCTGTTAAAGATTACATGGAAACTATTATTCCTCAGGTTCTATAAGTTGGGGATAAGAATATCTACATCTCACAGGCTGAGAAGATGAAATGAATTGAAGCACATAAAGGGCTCAGAGTTGCGCCCAGCACGTGGGAAGCTTAATGAATGTCAGCATGTCAGCGATTATTCACTTTGCAAAGAAAACAGGATGGAGATGAAAATCAAGAGCCGCCTTCTGCCCAAACCCGTACCTTGGCGAACGTGGTGTAGAACTCCCTCTTCAGGGTACTCCTCTCCATTGTGATGATCTGGTACAGCCCACAGCCCAACGACAATGCCAGGCAAACTCTTAAAATGATCAGAAGGCTCCCTGCCAGGTTGTGGTGGGAATGGTAGCTGTGAGGACTGGTATCTTCAACCTGTTCCCAAAGCAGCAAAATACTCTGCAAAAAATATTATGTTTAGAGGGGAAAAAACATACTACTCACGTACAATAAAGAACTTTTTCATCTCTTTATAAAAATCCCCTTATATAGTATCTAAACACCCCTAAAAAGTGGTAAATGTTATCAACCGCAAGCACAGGCAGGTACACTAAATTAGAGAAAGAGGTTTCTTTATCCAATAAGGTCACACACAAAAGAAAAACACATGCGATTGCTACCATGACTCAAGGCAGACACCTCTGAGGGTAACAGTCAGATGCGCGGGCTATGAGAAGAAGGATCCTCTACTCTCATCTCACTCTTAACACGTGGGCTCTCGCCAGCCTGCCATGCGCGCGCCCAGCCTGGCTGGGGACTGCTGTTGCGGAAGGCCCTACACACCCACCGGCTCCTTAAGCCATGCTGACTCTAAACTGAACTTTATAAAAAAGAAGTGATAAAGGAAGGATTATTTCTGGCTTGTATGTGAGGTGACGGATATGTTAACTCGATGATTTTGGCAATCATTTCATGATGTAGAGGTGAATCAAAACCTCGAATTGTACACCTTAAATAGTCTTCTGTTTGTCTATTGTACCCTAGTAGGATTGGGAAAAGTCTATTATTTTACCCTATTTGCATGTTTACTTGTTCAAATTCCCACGATATCATGCAAGTATGCTAATATGTGACCTGCGCAGCACACGCACGTGTTTACGTGGCCTGTCTCACCCCCGTCTGTGGGTTTCTGTTGAAGACTAAGGCCATGCGAAGCATTCTCGATAATGTTTGCACAGGATACTGTCACACTCAATTTCTACTTGCCTATGAAGTGAATTAAAATTACCATAATAAAATTCAATTTTCAAAAAGCTATTAATAGAAAAATGAAAACTTAACCTGCTATTTACCCTCCTTTCCATAGTTCTAGATCAAAAACATTTAGTTAGTAGAATCTTGTCCTTATCTGGCTCACTTCTGACTCAGCTCTTCCTTGCTGGCTCTTCCTTCCTGACCCCCTGCCCTTCCTAGACAGCCCACTGTGTCATGGGCTCCCCAGTTCAGTCCTGTAAGGTCGGTGCACCTCCTGCACTCGGAACCTACTGCACTAAAAACACACCAGGAGCTGAAGCTCAGTAAAGCACACAGCTCACCCTTTGTTTATGAATTTTTCAACTTATTTAATACATTACAAATTGGACTATAATGTGCTTTATAGAGCCCAGTGTATGTTTAAATTCATCTGCAGCTAATGATGAACACACACTCAATATAACCTATGTGATGTCTTTCCTGTAAATGTCTATAAATCTACTGTGCATGGGCACTGGAGATCCTAGAATAACACCGACAGTACTGCTATAGAAGAAGACAAAAATACAGAGAGGACCTTTTTAAAAGAGCATTGTATTTGTCATAAAAAACAAGATCCTGTTCTTTTTTGTCCTGTGTTTTCCTTTTCCTAGTCACCTCAGACATTCACTCGAACTCTTTCACGTAAAAGGCCTAAAGACGCTGGCCAGTAGGTGAACTGCAGATCCACTGAGGCACTTACTGCCGAGGACTTACTAAGTGTTAAAAAATGTAAGATACCTACTAAGCAGGAAATGAGACTATAACCAACCGTTAAGTATACTGTGTACCTAAGTTGCTAAGAAGCTCAAATCCATTTAAATTAAAATTAAATTCTGCAATTTACATATTCCACCACTCAGAAAATTAACTGACTGATCAGTCACTCTAGAAAATCTTTAAAATACTGAAAGTGGCACGTCGTCCTCGTGGTCCCAGGTTTCAGTTTTGAGGTGAGGTTACGCTCCAGTGTGCGTGCCTGAGAACGTGGGGACGCGGAGCTCCAGCACTCACCTGCGTGACCACGATGAACACAGCGATGCCAGTGGACGCAGGAGTGGAGTCCCACTGGAGAGGTCTGCTCTGAGACTTCTTCATTCTCACGATTGTCCAGCCCATGCACAGGCTCAGAAGTAGGTATAACATCTGAATTTGGGAAGCGATGTCAAAAACTAGTGGAAAATGAGAACCAGATAAAGGAAGTTTTTACAATAAAATAAACCTGATCCTTTTTCATCAAAAAAAAAAAAAATGCCATTTTTTAACCACAGAAAGATAAACATTTTCAAAGAGAAGCGGATTAAAAACAGGAAGAGATATTCAGGTAATAATTCTAAGGAATTAAAATTTTAGTATTTAATTTGTAAACACTTATGGAAGTCATTTAAAACGGTAATACTATGTACACGTCTTTATTAAGGCTAACAATAAATCTCCCTGTTTCTTAGTTTTTCCAACTACATATCTAAAAAAAAAAATCGAACAACTTCTGAAATGTGGATAGCACTAGCACCTTCACTTCACTTCGGGGGTCTTTTGCTGGCTGACCTCTAAGGTGAAGGGTGTGTTCTGAAACTACTCAAGAAACCGCAGGACAACGGGCAGGAGTGACCGCCCAGGGCGGCTGCTGTGTCGGCGCTGCGGCCTCGGCCTCGGTGCGCTGTGCCCCCAGGTGGTCGTCACTCACACTGCAGGGGCAGCGGCTACTCAGAGGAGCCGCCAACCAGCCTGCCTCAGCCCCAACCTACGGCTAAGTTAGGTTCCACGAGTATCTTAGAAGTATTTACTGATTTCAAGAAAAGATGATCACATTCTCGCCAGTGTCCTTAATGTGGATTTTTTGAGTGAATTTCTGATCACAATTTAACAAAACAGAACTTTCCTCAAGTTGTTATTCGTAACTTGAGGTCTACAACTTTTGCTTGTTGGAGAAACAGATAAAACTAATTATAATATAACTGTTATACTATGAATTTAAAAATTTTAAATTGCAAGTCAAAGACCTATTAATAACATACATTTTCAGATATCTTTTGACATGTCTTACCCCTATTCTACATTCCCAATTAAAACGGGAAACTCCACATTTACAGTTACATATTTGTAACAGTGAATTCTGTCACTACATCATATTCTTTCAGTTCAAGCACAATTTTCTTTCATCATAGATTTTAAATATGATGTCAATTATTTTTATTAAGCATTTCACAAATACATATTCAGTTACTTAAAGAAGTTAGCCAAAGAATTATTACTATGTATGTGCCACTTAGCACATTCTGGATTTCCTAGCATTTCTTTACATACTAAGTAATATACATATTGATATGACATCATAATTGTGAAGACAGAGAACACTGCTGTTGTTGAAAATTTCAGATAAAATTTACTGGTCACACAAAATCCTTATCTGTGAGATATGATTAAAAATCTTAAAATTTTAATCATTAACTAACCAAACCTTTTGTCAGAATAACTGATACTTTGTGTCATTGATTTATTTAATTTTATAAACAATCAAAAAAACTCTTCTTTTTAACCTGCAGTGAAGATGCCAGGGACCCTAAAACACTCTTATTTAATGCAGACAAACACAAAGATCCAAAGCCCTTGATTTAGTAATACCTTTGTCACTAATGAGTTTCCTCTTTGGAGTTCAATTTCCTCATCTAAAGTTTATAAGCTAAAGTATTTCAAAGGTTCTGTTCAACTTTAAGTTTCTATGGTTTTACTAGACATCCAGAGTCATCTAAGAGAACAGTGGGTGATAACAGGACTCTATGTAATACTGAAGAAAGAGAAGGAAGTTTTGTTTCTCACAGTGCACATCACTTTCACAAGGAAGACGAAAGGTTCCAGAAGTTTTAGAATCTTATACGAGGCAGCAAGATCAGGATAAGTGGGTGTGATGTGATTACAGAGTAATATTACCATAAGATACTCTTCAGAGAGAGAGAATGCCACAGAAAAAGCATGGCACTAGGAAGATATATAAATTCTGGAGTAATTTTATACGCAGAATCTTATTTTTTAAGAGTAAATTTTAAACAGTTTTCCAGGACTGAGAATGACACATGTGACCTGGTGTTCCTCAGAAGTTCTCTTGCAAAAGTCATGCTAGGAGAACATTGAAGTATTTTCCCCATACTTTGTTGGAACATTACTTCATACAAGTTCCTCTTATAAATAAAAGAACAAGGTTGTGAGGTCAGCTTAACTTAGGTCTCCTCTATGGACTTAAAGGTCAGAACCCTTGCAATAAATGAGCTAATGCACCTTAGATGAGGAAGAAGTATCCAAATAAAGGATGACAACAGAAAAAACAATCTTTTGGTCCTAAACCTCAGGTCTCTGTCTGGGCTCCAAGGCACTGAGTGACTGTGGGTATGTGTCATATCGTCAAGCCCAGAGTGTGTGTCTACAGAGTGGGAATGAGCAGGTCCACTTCCCTGAGCTTTTACTGGGGGCAAAATGAGAACACAAGTAAATGTGTTCTAAATACAGTGACAAGTGGCACTCACTACCTATCATTAAGACTAAGAGGGGACATCTGGGAACTAAACCTGTAGCCATTTACAGAGGAGCTGAAATTGAAACAAGCCTGATGAAAAAATGTTATTATGACCAAAAGCAACTTGAAAGAAAGGCAAACAAAGAAGCAGCAGATAAAGCAAGTTTATGTTTGAAAAAAATGCTCAGAAAGATACTCACACTCTGCCAAACTTCCCATAAATGGTACCCCGATTCCATCTTTGGAGTACCTGAGGAATTGAAGAGGAGGATATTAGTTTAAATTACAAAAGTGATGGAAAAAAGTTCATAATCAAAGCAAGCATAATTTTGGTGGACTAATTAGGATTAATTAGACGTAATGATGAACACAGTTTTAGTGGTTTTGAGTTACCTGGAGAAATGAATGTAATTAGCTAAAGCTGAACCAGCTTGTAACAGCAATGCAGTTGTCAGAACCTTTAAAATCATGTGCATGGGTCCTCCTTTCTTAATAGCCTGCCACAATGATTGAGCATAAATGCAAGCAATCACAAAGTACACTAGGACTAGTAGGAAAAAGAACTCATGTAATCCTGTAAGAGAAGAAAGGAGTTTGCTTCAGTAAAACAAGCCAGTCATCGTGTTGGGTTGCTTTCAAATCTTCCTGTCAATATATTTCCAGAACTTGGTTTTTAATTGGAGTAATAGCATTTGTTTTGTAAGAAAAAAATGGGGCGGGTGGATAATTTATTGGGATAAAGTTTTAACTCTAAGTCAGCAGATTCTACCAAACTTGTTAAAGCCAATCTGTAAAAGAGTATAATGGCCAGGGAGTAAGTCTGAAGGCTACCCACAAGTTCAGAGTTTTGTGCAAGACAGTCAATGAATCGATTATTGCCAGCAATCAATGAGATACACACTGTATTTCCTAAATGAATTTCTTCTAAGATTAGAAACAGATTTAGTCAATAAACACATATAATGTACCCTGACATGGTTCTCAAAGTGTGACCTCTGGGCCAGGAACTTCCCCAGGAACTTGTTAGAAACACGAACTCTTAGACCTCGATCCAGACCTACTAAATCAGAGTGTAGGCACACAGGCCCTGCCATCTTCATTTTGGGGCCTTTGAGTGATTCCAATGCAGCAAAGTATGAGAAGACACAGCTCTGGAATGTACCACGACCTTACATTATAATTGAGACAAAACCTGAAAGCACTTGTCACGACCGAAGCTCCCTACCACAGTCTACTGCCTGCAGCGCTTGCAAGGAGGAAGCCCTCTGGAGACCCTGGGGCCACTCCACAGCAGTTAACTGAACTATACAACCCCAGCCTAGCGGCCACCAGTCTGAAGACCAGCCCTGGCCACAGCCTAACATGGTTCTCAAAGGATAAATTAGGCTAATCGTAGTGTTCTGGGCAATCCAACCACAAAACACAGAAAGAATGATGCAACTGATACTGAAGTTGAAGGAACTGATGCTGGGACAGAGCAGAGGACTCAAACTAGGCCATGATGAAATCAAAGTTTCGAGTAAGCAGAAATTTCAAATAAACAAAGCAGGCTGGTTGGTAAAGATAAGAACAAAGTAAACGTGCAGAGTTTATATCAGAAGAGGAGCCAGTCTGTTATTAAGGACACCCTAGTTCCTACTAGCAGCTGTATGTATCTTCAGAACCAACACCCCCTTTTCTGTGCTACCTGAGCCCTCGTCACCGTGTCTTCATTCTTCAGAAGTTTCAGGGCATCTTCATGGAAGCCAGAAGGCTAGCTCTGAGTTTAATGGCTTACACTTACGTGGCTACAGCTGAAGTCAGAGCCCAGTGTGGGGGCTTTTATAGTCTACCGCTAACACCCGGGGTTCTAACAGTGGATGTGAACAGAGATGTCCTCCCGAGTCTGGGCTGGAGTCTGGAATGCAATCATTCCCCTCGGACTGAGAACACCGAACCTGCTTCAGGTTCCCGTGGGGTAAAAATGCCAACTAAAAGGCAGAGAAGCGAATGTTTCCATTACAGAGAAAACAACTTTGGAGAAGCACTTGAGAAGACTCAAGGAGTAGGAAAAATAATAAACAGTTCAATCTTAATAATCATGCTTTTGGTATGGGTAGGCGAGAAGAAAGAAGTGAGGAGTGTTTCAGCCACTGGGTGTCTCTCTTGCTCTGTGCACGTAGGTGTCGAAAGTTCACTTCTCACGCCCAGGTGAAAAAGAAGCTTTAGTGCAAATAACGGAAGAGAGAGATTTCCTTTTCAGACTTCTTACAGAGGAAGTATTTCAGCTTTGGAAAAAAATGAGAACATGAGTGATGCTGTTGTGTTAAAGCAAGTCTGGAGACATTCTGAACATGTAGGCCAGTAAAATTCCTTATGTTCTGCGAATCTTAGTTTTGATCTGTCCTTCTGGTGTAAAGAATTAAAAACACAACCTTCTACTTCAAGTTTTGTCTATTTTTAACACTTTTCAAACTACCCATTACAAGAGAATGTTTCATTCTGTCAGATTGTACACACCCATCATTAAAAAAGTCTTCAGGTTATGTCTGGGTAATCAGAATAGGACTGAAAACAAAATATGTCACCAGGAGAAAAATGTTTTTGGATGATTCAAGTTAAATGTATCTTCCAGGAAGAAGCTAACATTACAACCAACAAATTATTTCACTGGGATAAGTAACTTCAACTATGATATTTGTCCTACACTTTTATTAACTGAATTTGCCTAAATTATTATTACCTTGAGCCTGTCTACAAGGTACTCTAAAGGTAAAGGCTGGTTCTGTCCAGTATTCTTTCAAATTTACCACCTTTAAAAAGCAGTCTCTGTTTTTCTCTTCCTCTATCAACTTTACTTCTGCTCAGTGACAGCATTCACAGGAAAGCATTCTGCTTGCTCACTTTGAAATTAAAATCTATTTTAAATAGATAAGTACTAGGTATAAAATCTTAGCCTATGCATAAAGAAGAAATATTCTTCTTAAATGAGCATGCAAAAGATAACAAAATATATATTATCAGGGAAATACATAGATTTTTAAGGCAAACTTAATGGACAGAAAAGTTGGCAAAATTCTGCAGGAGGAAAACTTATAGTACAGTTCCAGTAATTCAGACTGGCTAAATGACAGGCGATGGGAGGAGAAAGGGTAGAGCAAAAGGAAGCAGGCCTGGGGCCTGAGCAGCAGCCGCGGGCAGACTCTTGGCTGCCCGCTGTGTTTGCATTTCAGAGCCCCACTCTCAAGTCTTCGATATTCCAACACGCTTGCCAATGAAAGGTAAACCTGCTCCCTTACTCTGGCACAGATGCCTACCTCATCTTCTGACAACTTACACGCCTCTTATGATACTATTGAGCAAGGGTGTGTGACCCAGTGCTGGCTAACATGTGAATACTGAGCTTCTGGGAAAGTTTTCTTTGCTTGTAAAAAGAGATAATGAACTCGTCTTATTAAAGACGAGTCTCAAAATTACAGAATAATTGCAAACATGAGGGACCTGGGCGAAGGACAAAGCTGGCAGCCAGGAGACAACAGGGTGGAGAAACACATAATGCATCACCCTGAAGAAGCCTCAGAAGTTCTTGCTATGCTGCAGAATCAATTTCCTTAATACCTAGATCACTTGCCTTAGTTTTCTGTTACTTTAAGTTAACAGAACATTACAAACATTACAAAAAGTTACCAGCGCTAAATGGTATCACTATCTTTAGGGAACAAAGGGCTAAAAAATGAACATACCTGGAATCTTAAAAAGAGGGAGATGTGCTAAGGCCTGTACTAGAATCCCAGTGAAAACCAGTCTACTTTAGATGGACATGCTTTGACGCTCATGATTCTGAGTGCTTTCTCTTTTGGTCCCTAACAAGAACATAGATACAGTGAACAAGGATCTGATTTTTTTTAAGAAGCAGTTTTATTTTATTCTACCTTAAAGTATGAATGCTATTGCTATGTATCATACAAAGATTCCTAACTAGATGTAATCTTATTTATCATCAATGTAATTAGAATGAATCTTATTTGTCATCAAACTTGCCTATGTTTGTTAACTGTTTTGTTTTAATCTAGACTAAATCTATACAATATAAGATAAAACAAAGCCTGTCAGATATAAAACATATAACTGGTTTCAAAGAAAACAAACAATAAAATTTAATCAGATTAACACATAACACTATCTGTAGCTCTCTGCAGCACATTATCCTAAGTCAAACCTCTGATATGAATGATTTAACGATCAAATTTTGGTAAGAAAAAAAAAAGCATAGCAAATCACTTTTCTTTCCCCAGGTCAAAAAGATTATAGACAGGAAAGCAAATGTTTCTAAAGAGTAGTTAGGGGTTATTCCCTGGGGTCAAATTCTGTCCCTGAGACTATAGAGTAGAAGGTGTCTCTGCTACTGCCCTACTCTAAGACTAAGGTTCTCCAAACCCTGCAGGGTACAGAGTAGAGAAGGGACTCCACACATGAGCGCGCCCAGGAGCTTCCACCAGCCACCAAAGCTTAGCTTCTGTTCCAAAACCAAATCTGAGTATCTGGAAGTAGAAGCTGGATGTTTTTTAAGTTCTCCAGATGCACAGACAGTGGTGGGTTGAGAACCATTTAGACCTCACTGTAGAGTTACTCATATTTTATGACAATTTAATTAGAATGAATCTTATTTTAAGCTTTTTTAAAAATTTTAATCGATATAATGATGTGATTCTTAAAAATCAGTCTCCACAGATTAGCCTTGCACAGAACCCCATGCTTAAAGAAAATACAAACTATAGAGTGATGTTTTGGTCCCTTATTTCAATATGGGTGGTGACATAACCAATGGAACTTTCCTATTCCAGTGTAAGAAAGACAAGTTAGATGTAAGTCTAAGCATCTAACCATATGAGATGGTGTGTCAAGACTCAGGACAAGAGTTGTATCAGTGTTTAGTGTGAAGGCTGAAGAAATCACTAACCATCACAAGCTGTGGTAAAGGTCTAGAAGACATCGGCAAGGCGCCGGAGGAGCTGGGATGAGCGCGATGGAGATTCAGTGGCCCAAGCACAGCACAGGGCACAAATTTCATCACTTCATGGCCTGTGTTCAATGTTCAAATGTCAAATTGGGGATGAGGAAATATATCTGAGGAATGTAGAAATGGGAGCTAGATAAGGAGGCAAGAAAAAGCACACTGAGATCCAGCAGCATCTCATGAGGGGCAAGCAGTAAATGAAATGACCTGAGCTAAAAAACTTGCTACTGCCTGGGAGGCAGGACCCGGAGGGCGCTGAGGTCTGGTTAAGGGGGTAAGGCGGTCTCCTAAGGCGGGGACTTCGTGCTTCCCACTGAGCCTGGACCACCTCTAAAAATAGGTTACCTGAGAGAATGAAGCCTTACAGTTACAAGGACTTTAGAGGCGACCATCCTCCCAGCCCACCCCATGCTATCAATAATCTTGGGCTTCATCAGTGCCCTTACAATAATGGGAAATAAATGTCAACATCTCCTATAAAGATAAAAGAAAACAGCAGGCTGACTTAACTTCCACTCATGCTCTACACTGATCCAAAGTACCATCTGGGGAAATGTAACCTTTAAGTTCATTTGCATTCCAAAACAACTTAAGGAGTTTACACTTACACACTTCCTCCATAAAAAGAAATTTTAGAATTAACTGTTTTAAAACATTTAGCCCTCCATGGTCACAAAGTATGTATTTCTTTAGCCCAAAGGATACTAAGAAGAAAAGGTTTATTCCTTCAGACATTAAGTTCCTCTTCACCTACGGTCTGTCACATCTGCTCCTCAAGTTGCTTTTCTGGCTGTGTCAACTTGCCCTTGACGCTGAGTAATCAGATTAGTGGAATCCTCACCTTCTGCCCTACCTCCACGCAGCCACCTAGAAGGCCAGTGAAATGTCATGGGATTTATTTTTTCTCTAATCTGACTGACTTCCAAATGGGTAATGAACTCATGAAAAGGTAAGCGCCTATTCCTTTTCTTTGGCCCACAGATCTTACTGTTCATTCTGACATGTTAATTGACAAATCTGTTACGATACCTTAGAGCACACCTATCATGAATCACAAGAAGTCAGTTACTTCTGCTCAAGCTAGGAATCTTACTTCAGTGAGGCAATACCTAATAAACCTAAAATTTCAAGGAAATATTTTATAAGAATATACCTAATTTCAAAAAGCATTATAAACATTAAGCATCCCTAACTCTGACCACTTCCTAAACATTGATCCAGGCACCAGTGGCAGGAATTCCCAAATCTGCCCAAATAGCTCAGTGAAAGGGTAGCCATACAAAGCAGCGCAGCTTCTAATCTCACTCACCCACTGACTTTCCAATTTAGATTGCTCAATTTATTAACATTTTTCTGGTTGTAAAAACAATGCTAGGGTGTCAAAGAAACAAGATTCAAAATGTATAGAGGAATCTAAAAACCATCCATAACCTTACCTCCTAAAATATGGAATCAGTTAATATTTTTGTACATCTTTCTGTTTTACTCTCTGCATTTTCAACATACTTGAAATCATACCACATAATGTTTAGCATGCCGTTTCTTTAACTGAACAGTACAACTGTCGCATGCTATATGTGGATTCATTTAACTCATGTCCCTACTCTCGGACATGTACGCTGCTTTTTAGCTTTTAATATTTAAAAAAATACAACATGATAACATTTATGCGTAACTCTCTTTTCTGCATTTAGGACATATATTTAAATACACATATTCTTACCAGATTCTCCAGCACTAAAATGATCAAATGGATTCCCTTCGGCATCTGGATTTAGTAACATCATTTCAAATGGGATATCTTCCACCTGAGAATTCTCACTGTCATCTTTGCATGTATACTTGTCTGCATAAAAAACCTGCCACGTTTGTGGGTACGGGGTCTGGGACACTGTCAGATTATGTTCCGTCTGGTTCATGATCACTTTAAAAAGAAAGAAAATAGCACTTCAAAGCAAAATTCTCATGTATATTCATTATTTGAATTACATAACCAATTTGAAATTAGAATTCTTTGTTTAGTTCTGATGCAGTACTGGAATAAAGTCTGTAAAAGTTAAATTAGATAATTATGTGCTAACCGAATCAGATTTAAAAATGTCTTAACCGAAGGAATCATCATAAAAGTATTATGACACACCACAAGTTAGTAGAATGATTATCACCAAAACTCTGCATTTTAATTTCAAGAATGTTGGAAGTTTTCAAGTGAGTTGGTGACATTTAAATGTTGTGTTTTTTTTTAATTATTATTATTATTATGGTAAAAAAGACCCAACACACCCGTTACCCCTGTAACCATTTTTAAGTGTAAACCATGTAGCATTAAATACACTCACAGTGTTGTATAACCACCATAAGGGCATTTTTGAAAATTATTGAGTTCTATCTGAAATGGAGCATTCAACTTAGGAAATCATTTTATCTAAAAATTATGACTGACAAAAATCAAGCGTTTCCAAAATCTTTTCTGACTCATTATCCTTTAAAAAGATTCTAGAAGAAAAACCAGAAATTTCAGTTGGTCTGCAGTGTAGTGAGAGAGAAGCTCCAGAAAGTCAGCGTCACAGCTGAGCGTCCATCCTGCCTCTATCACTCACCTTCTATGTGACCTTGGGCAAGACACATAAGCAATGACACTCAGTTTTTTCATCTGTAAAGTGAAGATAGCACTTCACAGCTGATGAGAAAGTTACATGAGTAACTCAGCACCTGTGTGTGCTCCAGCCAGTGTTGAAAGATGGATAGTTCTGTTTCCTTTCTTTAAGGTGGTTGTAGTAGGAAGTGGTTGTGATCCAGGGTAGCCCCACCCCCCTCCAGAGAATCCAAAAGCATGTAGGTGGGTTCTGTGGCCACAATAGTTGAGAAGATACTTGGAGGCAGCTGTGTTGAGACTCAGACTCACACGAGAGGAACTGCTGCACCCCAAATGCCAGACGCACGTCCTTTGAGAAACACTGAGCCTGTGCGATGCCTTCCAGATCTGACTGTGATTCTGAACCTAAATGCTGCTCTTGCACACTATCAAATGGTGGCACAGAGATCTTAAACACTTCCATAGTACGAGAAGAAAAGGCAGAAGTGTTGGCCTGACTATGTCCTGACCTTACGATTCAGCAAATAAACTGTTTAACTTCTCTAAATGTGTTTCTTCAGCAGCAAAATGAAGATACATGCCCTATAAAACTCAAAGTTCTCGTGAAGAGTGAATAAGAGAGTGAAAATTTGAAATTCAACATGGTCTGATTCTCTATAGTGTTCCTAAACCGTACATTGTGAGGAGCCCAGCTTCCAATCTAGACTGCCCCCACTGCAGCCTATTAGACTTCGTTGTTTCCTCAACTGAAAAACGTTGTAATAAATAAAAGACATTTCTTGTAATCATGGAAATTTGCATATGGAGGAGATTTTAGAGGTCACAAAATTCTTCATTTGCTTAGGTATACGACTGGTATTGTAGTTATGGAAAAGAATAGTCTTACTTCTAGCAGATGCTGTAATATGGGGGGGCATTGCTGATGACCCCAAAGCCTAACTTCATTGAGCTCAATTTAAAACAAGAAATACACATATACATATTTAAGTAAATGTAACAAAATATTGATAATTACTGACTATAAGCTGAGGATGTATAGATGTTGGCATGTATTATATTTTAAACTTCTCTGTATGATTGAACATTTTCCTAGTAAAAATTTGAAAAATGTTACTTATAGGTTGTCTTTTATAAAGGAGATACAGCTATATCTCAGGATTAAATTTTGAGGACTTGGGTTTTACAGTTGGGAATTTTCATTAATGAAAATTCTGGTTAAACTGGGTGAGAGGATTTTATTAATAATGTCTCAGCATTTTTTTTTTTTTTTACTATCTTAAGTGAGTTGATATTAATTTTTTTTAACTGTAAAGATTTGGGAAAATGTAGCAAAGACTAACATCTGTTAAATACTTGAAGTCCTTTAAAAATAACTCAATATATGATCAATAAGTGGCTCAAAAATAAGGTTTTTGAAGTGTACAGCTTGCAATTACAGAACTCAGACTTCACTGTGTAAAGGCTCTGTACTGTTACTGTTGTTATAACTTACACTTTTTCTCTTAGATAAAACAATGTAAAAATTAGCCATCCTCACCAATACATTTTTTTGATGTTTCATTTTAAATTGATATAGATTTACATCAAGTAAAAACAAAAGTGTGCTTCATGAAGTGATCCTGGTTTTTAGTTTTATCTCACTGCTCTTTTCTGTAAGCCTGGGAAACAAGCCTCTTGAAAAAAGTGTATATTCATTTTTTTTTTTAAACAAAAGACTGCAACACAGCATACATATTCTATGCTGCTATAATTAGTACCTCAAATATTAACAAAATTTGAGTTACAGAAAGGACTACTGTTAACCAAAATATACAGAATAAAATATACCTTTAAATGTTTGTGAAATATACCATAAGCTATATATACAATGAACATTTTTATATACCAAATTATATCTAATAGCAAGTTATTCTAACTTCTTAAACTTTCTGACATAGAAAATTCATCATTTTCAGCACTTTTACAGCACTTTTAATCTTATTTGCTTGCTTAAACACTACAAAAATTTTTATCATAAAAAAATCTAATGTTTTAATTCATGATGGTACTGAAAGAGAACAAAGGGATATTGAAATACAAGGAAGAAACAAACTTGAGCCAACAAGCTAAGCAACATTTGACATTGTATTTTTTTCAAATCTCCTAGTCTCTTCACCGTTCATATCAGCAGTGAGATTTTACACAGTAGGCAGGCATAGCTATTGACTCATTACCATATAAAGCTGTAGAGTGATACACTCAAATCCCTGCTAGTTCATTTATTTCAGGTCCCAAAATTTAACAAAAACTCTAAAATCCCTATTTCCTGAGCTTGTTCCATCCCAGTAACTACAACATAACACCTACACTTGAAAGGAGGAAGAAGAAAAAAGAGTAACAGAAATAACAAAAAAGGTTTTATAAGTGACAGCCCTTCACTGAAACAACTCATTTAATAGAGTCAGAATTATAGCATTTTAGGACTTTCAGTTAGAGAAGACGAGTTGCACTTAAGTAGTGTGGCTGAGAGGGACACACTGTATTACCAGTCATTAGCTGTGATTCTCAGTTTTTCGTATCAGGGATGGCTCTCTCCCTATATATTCCTGTGACTGAAGACATGACTGTAAATTGTTTTTCCAAGTGTATATACTTTATGGTAAACACTGATCATGTGACATAAGATGATAGATTGATGCCTATTGTTCACATCTTTACACTGCTTGATCAGTTTTTATTATAGAGAAAAAGATTTTGAGCTGCCCAACACAATACAAACAACCTATCAACCTAAAAAATCCCTTGAGTTCTATGTCAATTAATCCTACAAGCACTTAGTAAATTCTTAACTCCATATTATGGTATTATAAGTAGCTGTTCTCAAAGTACCATGTTATTAACATTCATTGTACTGATCATGACAGCGATTTCACATTTACTCACATTGGTCTAATTCATTCATGTCACTAGCCTTAAGGTTTGAGAAAGTGTATTTTTAAATTTTTTATATATTTTAGTATATCTGTGTTTTATACATTTATTTATTTTCTTACATTGTTCATTCTTGTACAATATTTGATTTCTACTTGCAGGTGGAATCCCCATAATTTTCCCACCACAGTGGCACCCATGAACCATCACCATTGCACCTTATGGTCTTCCCTGTCAGTTTTGATCGCTCTCTCTCATCCTCCCTCTGTGGGCCTCAGATCTAGGGTTTGCCTGCAAGTTTTGTCTTTTTCCTGATCCTTTGGTCTCCCTATATTCTCCCTACAAGTGAGACCATGCAATATTGTTCTCTTAGCTTCTAGAAAGTGTCAGTATTTTTTCTCTTGATTTATCACTGTGGCTAACATAGTACAGGAAACAGTGCAAGGGCTGAATGAATGAATGAGTGAACAAACAGACCAAAAGGGCTCTACTGTTCTATTGATCTTATAATAAATGAATAAAGTGGAGAACAGTAACCATGGTAAGTACCCTGCAGGAAACGAGAAGTCATAAAAACACGTGTAAACTCAGTGAAGGGAGGAGCCAGTAAGCTTGGCTTTGCTGATCTGGTTAAGGAGGTCTGCGTGTGATAAAAGCAGTGGGGAACCACTTAAATATTAGAAGGGTAGAGAGGAAGTGAAGGGGACAATGTGCACAAAGCTGCTGTTCAGAGAAGGGGCTCTGGTGGCAGAAGTGGGTGAGCATGGCTGCAAAGTAGCCAGGCTGGGGTTGTGGCAACAGAACAAGCAAGAGACATGGCGGCTCGGCGTAACATGATGGGCAAAGCAGAGATGAGAAGAAGTTCATGAATTCAAGAGCTATTTAGAAGTAACTCAGTGATGGGATGGAAGGGACAGAGGGGTCCAATGGGGGTGCTGAAAGACTCTGCTCTCTAGCTAGGTTGTTAGATGGAAGTTCCTGAAGCAGAGCACACTGCAAGAGCACTGGGGTGGGTGGGCAAGATGGCCAGCTCAGTTTAGGACACTGTACCACCTGGGAAAAGAAGGCTGGAAATTTTTATAGATATGTGGAACAGCTTAGATGAGCAAAGTGGTGTAGATAGGAAAAAATAAGCAAAAATGCACATTTATACAAATCTCCCAGTTAAACTTGCAAAGTAATTAGACACATTTGACTTTTTGATATCTGAATCCAGTCACTCAGACTTCCTCATTATACTATCATTATACTGTCATCTCCCAAATCTAGGTAAATGACCCCTCGATGAGTGGCAAGGATTGGAGACTTCCATTCTTATCTTTCTGCTGGGTAGTTAGTTGCCTTGAGTGGGAAAAAGATGACTGCTAAGACCACAAGTTTAGAAATGGCAGTTTTCATTGACTGGACTAAAGTAGATTCACATCCATACAGAATAAATATGGTAGTGGGGGGAAAGAAGAGAGGGAAGGTTCCTGTTTTTCCTTCATGATGCTCCTACACTCTAAACACTTTCCAGGGGTGAAATACAGTGACATATGCATGGAAAGGCACATGCTTTTCATTTCTGTGTTTAAAAAAATGTATACCCACTCTTGAAGGGCAACACCTAATACATGGGAATGTACTAATGAGAAAAGAAGCACTAGTGAAGTAAAGCCAAGTTTCTCTAGAGACAAACCTAGGTTTTCAAATGACATGGTGCAGGAACATCCCCAAATGACATGTCACCGTATCTCCTGTTCTCGTAACATATTGGAAAACAATATCACTTGGCTAAATGACACAATTAACTGATCTACCAATTTATGACTAGTGCTTAGTTCAGTGCTAGCCAAACACAATCATTCACCAAATGTCATTCTTCACTGCATGCTGCCCAGGCTCAAAATCTATCCGCCATATTGTATGAAGCATGGTGAGCTGTAAAAAATATGAATGGTGTCAAAGTACATTTCTACAGATTATCTGGATAGTTTTCAAAGCTTTCGAATGACAGGGGTTGGGCCCCCTTTGATCAAGGAAAAGACTATTCTTTAAATTCAGTTTAAAAACTAGGTCAAGCATCATCGGTATGATGTGAAATCATAAAACATCTTGATACATAACACTTCAATAGCCATCTAGCAATTAAAAAAATAAAAATATACTCACTTGTCAACTGAGCTTTGGATAATTTTTCACTACAGCTATAATCATTACTGCTTTCCTGCAGCTTTAGCCACTCTTGGGCTTGGAACAGGTAGAGTTTTGCTTCTTTTCCAACCGCTACTGCAATATTGTTGATTTTGACACACAGAAGAGCACGGTCCCCTGGACATTAAAACAAAAGTTGTCAACCAGTGTGGGCTTGTATGAAACTGAGATGGCAGGAGGCCAGGGCTCTGACATCAACTAAAGAAGCTGAAGAGCTCAATATTTCGGGCAAATTTCACTTAACTGGATCAACCATATTAAACATCCCATTCAGCTGCAAGACAAGTTTGTGCCTTTTACTGAAGTGACTTTACTATCTGTCAGCACTCAAAGTATAGCTAGACCCAACTGTTTCTGGAATGTCCTCTTTATTCACTAGAGTTCTACTACACATAGGATTTTGGAAAACTGGTGGCATCTTCTTTTCTCAGCTATTTTTAAAACTTAAATTGAAAATTAATTCAGCTTCCCTCTCTTTTGCACCACTGTCCCTTTTATACCACCAACTCTGTAACTTCCCAATACTCTAAATTTCTTTCTTACACCAAAAGAAAAAAAGCTTCTCCTCTCTATTAAGAGAATCCTAAAAATCCTCTCTAGGGCAAATTTCTGATCGCATCTTCTAATGCTAAAAACTGCATCGATCTAGGATTCTAGAATCCTAAATGCATTAAGGCAAAAAAACAATAATTTGAGTAAGGTGCTAATCATATCCAGAGTGCCAAGAAAAATTCTAAACTGTCGAGGGTACAAATAAACTAAAAATTGCACACTCATTCCTTGAAGAACTAGTGATTTCTGCGGGAGACCAGAAGAATCAAATGCAGCTCTGACTTCAGAAGCTTCCAGGACACAGCATGGAAGTTAATTCTAGGCCTCTCAGGCCACAGTAAATCTACTCCTTCAAGAGTGGAGTAACTAGACTGTTCTAGCAATCATGACAACTCGATTATCAGGTGTTTTACTTGGCCTCCCAAATCTCTCTGCTGCACGAAGGCTTTTATTAAAACTGACCTTTAAAAACAAAAACGAAACCCAGGAGATATAAGTTCTGGAGGCTTAAATTCACAGGTAATCACGGTGCCTCGGTGTCTGGAAATAACAGAGCTGGGACAGGAGTGAGCAAACGGTACTTCTGTGAGGGAAGGATCTCGAAAGCAGCAGCAGGGGAGTCCAGTCATCTTGTCTACACGTTTGAACCCGCAAGGTAGGGGAATCGCTCTTTGAGGTGCAGAATCCAATCACCAGTCGCGGGGAGGCTGTAGACCAGGGTCTGGGGACAGCAATAGTGGACTTGACCCTGGGCGCACCCACGTTTCCGGGGGCTGCAGTGGGGAGAAGGTGGCCGGCGAGCTGGACGTCCAGGTGAGCTGGGGACAGTGCTACGCCCCCACCCCCACGCGCGGCGAGACGGGGTGGCCCACAGGCTGAGTCCCTCTCCATCTCCCCTCTCCGCGTCCCGCACCTACCGTGGAACTCGAAGTGGCCGATGCTCTGGCCCTGGGCGTCGCGGGCCGCGGCGCTGCTGAAGCTGCCCCGCAGGGTCTTCCCCTGGCTGCCCGGGGGCCACCAGCAGCAGGTGAGGGCCACTGCCAGCAGCCGCAGCCCCCCCATCCCGGGCCTCCAGCTCCGCACCTACACCCCAGCCCCTAACTGCCTACGGCCGCCCGCCCCACGTCGGCAGCCGGGGATTGGGAAGGAGGGAACCGGACCAAGGTCGCGTACCCGCCCCCCCGAGACGGACAGCCAATGAAACGGACTCCTCCGCCACGAGCCAAGGCTCTTCACCAATCAGAGGCTGAGGTGGGCGGGGCGTGCACTTACGCGCATCCCATCACTCCCCGGCCTCGAGCCTAGTTCCCGCCTTTTGGGTGGAGAATCAGGAGGATGTCGCTTCAGGTTACGGAAAAATTACTGCCCTCTCCGTCCGGCCGCGCGGCACTGCGCACGCGCGGGAGCGCTGGCTGGGTGGGTGAGATCTTGGACGGGTGTGTGGGTCTGAGAAATCTTCTGGTGAAAAGGAGAAAGCCAGGATGCCCATGCAGCCTACTGGACATTTCCCCTCGAATATCTCAAAAATACTTAATTCTGCCTGGGGAGTTTACCACGTGAGCTCTCTTGACCCTTGCTACTAGGAGGGCTTTCCCCTCCTAGTTTTCTTTTCTTCTGGAATTCAGTAGTTTGGACTGGCATCATCCAGCTGACCACACAGCTGGGAACAGAAGCGACCTCTCTCCCCCCAAGCCTTACACCCCTATATCCAGTCAAGTCTGTGAGATTAGTGGTGACGGTAGGACGCAACAGCCACCACCTTATCCAAGCTGCCCTCCGACCATCTCTGACTTGGCTGGTGGCAACTGAGCTGCCTCCAGTCTTCATTTTCTCCAGCTGGCTACATGCAGTTCATTCCTGAGCTAGAGACCCAGGAAGCTTGGGGAACTATCATTTGATCATCACTTTCTTTCAGAGGCTCTCATGTGCCTTGGGTATACAACCCAAATTCTTCAGAATATAACTTTCAGGTCTCTCAAATTTCCATCTCGATTTATCTCATCCGGTACTAAGCCACTATCAGTTCATTGACTATTCCGAGTTCTCACCTCTTAGCCTGTAGCATTTACAGCTCCCTCTGCCTGGACTATTCTTCTATTCTACCACTCAACCTCCAAATCTATTTTAGATGCTGCCGGAACTGGAAGCCCTGATGACCCTATCAGGGCACTGTGTACACTATATTGTAAATGTCTATTTTTCTGAATCCCCCACTATAGTGTAAACTGTACGTGATCAGGTTATGTTTATGCTGATGAGACAAGAAGCTCAAAATTATTTAGTGGCTGTACATGTAAATATTTTCACTTGACAACAAATTTTTATTATATATAAGTGAGTTCTCAACAGACCTCACCATTTAGAAAAGCAAACCTGGAGGGAATATTTCCTTTTACCCAGCCTTTTCTACGTCTCTGCCCTGCCAGAAATGCGGTGGAGGTAATAATATTAACAGATTATTTCAAAGTGTATTCTCCTTTAAATATAAAAGTAATTCATGCGGATTAGAAAAAAGTTCACAATCAAAAGTATATGAAGCAAAAGTGGAAGGCCTCATATCCACCTTTTCCTGTCCATACCTGATATTCAAAGGTAACCCCTGAGAACAGTTTAGGGTGGATCCTTTCAAGCATGCATTTACCAACACTTGGTATTTGCAAACCAAGGACAGGAATAAAATTGGTCCTGAAGATAAATCAGAACTTGGGCTTTGAGTGCTGTGCTCTTATCTTTCTTCTTCATGAACTTTGTTTTCTCTCTCACAGAAGGAAGTGGTGTTTTCATTGGGGTAGTTAAAGAACCCGATTCAAGAGGATCAGATTCAAGATGACAAACGTAGAAATAGGGTAAAAATTAAGCAGACATTCTGAGAAAGTCACTTCAGGCCCAAGACAAGCAAGCATGCCTAGCAAAATAAAGGAAAAGCAAGGACAGGGCGAATAATAGGAAAATACCTAAAGGTGGCATCTAGGGAACAGCTTTACCGTGATATGCAGCTCAAACTGTCTGTAATAACACCCACAGCAATACATTGCAATTTCACCTTCCCATCTCCACTATGCAAGAGGACTCCCCTGGAGTTCTTAGCTACCTAGTGAGTAATTTATGAAGATTGTTTTGTGCAAAATTGAAAAGAAGGCAATCGTTCAAAATTCCGACCACACGGACTGCTAAGGAAGGCCTAACCCATATACGGGGGACTTCTGGGAAGTTCCAGAGCCCTCTTGCCCAGCCAGGCAGGCAGGACCCCCGGAAGAGCTGCGCCTGCGCAGTGGCGCGCCTGCCGCGCAGCCCAGGGTCCCGCCCAGTGCGCCGGTGGGCGGGGCCAGGCCGAGCCTGCTGCGGCTTCCTTTCCCTTTAACGTGTCTTGGGGAGCGTGGCGCGTCGCAAAAAGTCGTAGTGGAACTTCTCCGCGGTCCTGGCGCTTTACGGTGCCAGGTCCTGCTCAGCTGGGAGATGTCGGCTGCAGTTCGGGCGGAGGCCTTGGGTCCTCCCAGCAGATTCGCGAAGCGGGTCCTGGTGACCGGGGGTGCTGGTTTCATGTAGGTAATTGCGGCGCTGGCCGAACTGTAGCCCCCAGAAACCCCAAACTGTTTCTGCGGTTCTGCTGCCCTGGAGGACTTGGAACCAGTTTTGGGGGTCTGATGCGCGCGCGGCGGTGGTGGGGTGCGTTGTCTTAATGCTTGATGGGGATCAGCCTACCTTCTCCAAAGCTGCTCTGAAATGCAACTTCTTTGGAACATCTTACTCCTTCCAGCAAATGTGCTGCGCTTCTCCCCTGCTTCTCCCCTCCCTCCGGCCTGGCACAATTGCATCTGTCATGTCACACTTCTGAGTGCACTCAGAAGTGCACTCAGCTTCTTGCCCACAGTCCCAACCCCTTGTTCGCACGCCCAAGCCAAAACACACAGGCCTTGTATTTACAGGCGCCCAACCCCGGTTTTGGATTGTAAAAGGGCATTCATTTGCTCAGCAAACTTAATCCCCTGTTGGACCTTTAATCTGTCCTAGACCCAGCCCCCACCCCCTCACTCTCGGAGATGACCACTGCTCACCCCTCCCAGTCCCATCTCTGCTCACCCCTCCCAGCCCGTGTAACTGTCTTCTTGTGCCCAGACGGTCGCTGTCCATTTCATTCCAGTCTGAGCCTCACACAGAAGTCAGTGTTTTGCGCCAGTGATTTCTGTGAGACTTGGAAGAAAATATCTAGAAGACTCAATGCAGAAGACCTTTTCTTCTCCCCCTTCCCCCACCCCCTTTCCGTGTCCACCACTCAGAACATGGCAGTTCCTGTCTGGTGCTTTACTTCCCCTGGGCTGAGGCTGTTTGCATCAATCCTTGCGTTGTTTGCTACACTGAGGACTCCGAGAGGCCTTACCCCCCCACCCCTCCAAAATAGCCCCTCTCCTCTCCCCAAGAACGCGGTAGCCTGCGGTGCTTAGCAACACACAATCTCAAATGTGTGTTTCCTGCTTATTGCCTGCACCCCAACCCAACCCACCCCCACTCTGGAATGTGGGCTGGACAAGCACCTCATCCCTCAGCACCTGGAGGAAAGCCGGGCTCCTTGTTTAAAGGTGTTCAGTAATGGTTCAATGATTGAAGAGAAACAGGCTGGGA